AGCTCCAACACTTATGAAGCAGAGAAAAACACATTATTATTGCTACTGATCACAGTCCAAGCTATGGCAGCTCACTCACCTTTATAAACAGTGACATAACAGCAGGTGCCATCTAGTTTTTCTGTAGCCAGTGCATGGCCAATATCAGCTTCCAGAGCAGCAGGGTCCACACTTTCAGTAGCAGCAACCTGGACTTTCTGCAGCCAGACAGATGACATACAAGTTTGAGACAGATAAGTGAAGAACAAGGTTTCACTGTTATTCCTGTGATTATTATAAGAAACACCGTTGAGCCACTTTTGCCCAAATGAATCATTCAGCTATAAGATATCAACCAGATTTTTGATACAAGTCCTGAAATAAAGTGATTTCTTCTCATTGAGTGCAATACTATGCTGTGATATTTAGTCCCCTTCCAGCAACAATCTGCAGAAATCTTTATGGCTGAGTCCGTCTGCAGTGTTCTATGAATCTGGAGTTGGAAAGCAGCTACTGGAAAATGTAACAGACCAGCTGGAATGAGTAAACCAGCAGTGCTGCAGCCAGCATTCATATGACCCGAGTCTCCTTACAAACACATCAAGAGCATGAAAAATGAAAACAATCTCACTGTTGAGCATATGACACCGAGACACTGCCCTCCAGGATGAGGCTCTATGCAATGTTGGGACTGCAAAACTACATTTACGGGATGTTTGCATCTGTGATAACACTTATTTGCCAGGTATTTATCTCTCGGCTTTGCAAAACACAGCCAAGACCTCCATGTGGTCATTTCATTAGAAACAACTTTTAAACTGAACGGATGGTGGGGAATGGAGCAGGGCCTGGCTCTTAAGCTAACGCTAGTGACGATAAGGAAACAGGTTTGAAGCTGGTCCCTAGGTCCTAGGACCGTCCAACACCCTCAGCAGACAAACGCCGTGTTCAGGTGCAGCCAGGCTGCTGCTCCATGCTAGCAGCACTTTGGTACTGATCATAAATCAATGGCTGCTGTGTCGCAGCACCGCTCACCTGGCCGTCTCGTTTCTTCGATTGTTCTTCTTTCATCTCGGTCAGAAAAACACACGGTATCTTCTGCTGAACAGCCCCCAGACGTCGTATTGTGGCTGTTTCTGTTAAGTTCCCCACCCCAGATGTCCTCCAGACACGTTAGTCCCTTTCCCTGAGCAAAGCGGAAATTGAATGTTCAGCATGTATATGGAGCAGATTGCTGGTCACGTGAGTCCTTCTTCTTCATTTTTTTTCGGTTGACAAACAATGAAGTGGCTCATTAGCGCCGCCACCACCCCGTGTCTCAGTCTAACAACACAATTCTTGTGTTACAATCTCTAATATCAAACTTTTAACAATTATTAATCATTACTATGTTTTATATGTGAAATGTCATTTTAATGCAACATTACAGACTTTTCAGATTTTATTTCCTAAAATACTATACAACACCACTCAGATTGTTTTTGTTACATTTGGACAGTAAAGCATGTTATCAGTTTTAACATGCCCCCCCCCTTAAACTGTGGATTAGATTCTCTTTATTATGCTCAAATTACAGCCATAATGTTTTTCTCACCAGGATGTTAAAAATTAAATATTTATTAAAAAAAATAAAGCAATAAATGAGCATTAATGTTTTTTGTTTGCTGTTTGATTTGCAGTTTGATTAAATTCCTGGTCCATGGATGGTGACGGTCCTGACGAGAAGATTGGACTGAGGCAGGTTATTTGTCAAGTTATGTAATTTTTTTTACATAAAAAAAGACGGCGCCATGTCTTCCGATGAGGAAGCAGAGGCTGAGGGCTCAGAGGTGGACTCATCCATCACCCAAGCTGAAGTCACTGAGGTAGTTAAGAAGCTCCTCGGTGGCAAGGCACCGGGGGTGGATGAGATCCGCCCTGAGTACCTCAAGTCTCTGGATGTTGTTGGGCTGTCTTGGTTGACACGCCTCTGCAACGTCGCATGGCGGTCGGGGACAGTGCCTCTGGACTGGCAGACCGGGGTGGTGGTCCCTCTTTTTAAGAAGGGGGACCGGAGGGTGTGTTCCAACTATAGGGGGATCACACTCCTCAGCCTCCCCGGCAAAGTCTATGCCAGGGTACTGGAGAGGAGAATTCGACCGATAGTCGAACCTCGAATTCAGGAGGAACAATGCGGTTTTCGTCCTGGCCGTGGAACACTGGACCAGCTCTATACCCTCTTCAGAGTGGCAGAGGGTTCATGGGAGTTTGCCCAACCAGTCCACATGTGCTGCGTGGATCTGGAGAAGGCATTCGACCGTGTCCCTCGCAGCGCCCTGTGGGGGGTGCTCCGGGAGTACGGGGTCCGGGGCCCTTTGCTAAGGGCCACCCGGT